CACCTTCCGTGCCTTGTTTTACTGCATAAAGCCGCAGTTTTTAAATTCAGATATAATGCCATTTGCAGCTCTTCGCGGAAAACAGCGAGAATCAAATATAGCTTCCGTATGTGAATTTTATTTCATGTCAAAAAAGCTGAACGTCCAATAAAGCTAAAAAGACGCCACAAATAAAAATGCAGTTTAAAGAATCGAACCTTTTTGATGAAAGTGAACACAATAGCGAATGTTATCACCGCGCAGCGTTCGAATAATTAAAATGTATGGAATGACACGAGACATGCATTTATACGATTAAAATAATAGAAAAATGGAAAACACGATGATTCGTGCTACAATCGCAAACGTAATTAAAATTTCATCGTCAAATTTAAATCTGGCCAAACTGATGGTAATGTTCTTCTTCTTGTTTTTAAATTTTCGCTTTATGTATTTAAATGTAAACATTTTTCATTTTTCTTCTATTAACCCATTCTTGTTGTTCTATGTTGTTACCTTAGGCATATATACATATATACATATATATCGGTCAAGTGTTGCCATAAAATTATGTATGTTAACGGCTTCTGATTCTCCGTTACCTTTAACGTGAGTTGTTAACCACATTGTTTTAGCACATTATTATTTTCAAGAGTGAAGTCTTTTTTGAGTTACATTTCCTTCAATCTTTGAGGTTACTTTCGGTAAAATTCAAGTATCTCTCTTAAGCACACACTGAGACATTTCTTTTGTAATTAAACGATATACGAAAAAAGAAGCAAAGTCAAGTCTACGTTCTTTATACAATATATTACATGTTAATATATCTACGAAATATATAAAATTTTTACAAGATTCTGATAACTCGGGTTATCACTATGGTGGTTATTCGGTATGGTTTTAGACTACATGTTGATTTGAATTTTCGAATTACGTTAAAAAATAATTTTACAATTTTTTGTATTTGCTTTACTTTTACAAATTTTTAAGATTTGATATAATTCATGCTTAGGTTTTAATTTTAAAAGTTAAAAAATATATCTTAAAAATCAAATATTATTATTATTAATTTAGCTGGAGAGTAAATTCTAAGACTAAAGCCCGAAAGCACTCGTATCGAAGGGTATCGAAGGCTTATAACCCAATTAGAAATAACTAATATATGTATATATCTTAAGATGATAGCTTTGCGTTGAGTCATGAGCACAAGCGGAGAGAATTTGAACTAAACAATGCTTTTGTCGAACAACTGCTTTTATATCATTTATTGTCTTATGCGAAAGCTTGCAAGAGTAAATTCGAACAGTGGGCGAAGCTGTTGCTCAAAGTGCTATCGGACGAGGCAAAGAACAAAAAAAAGTTGATGAGATCATCAACCGATTTTGAACGAGTAAGCCGCTAAATGGAATAATTTGTTAGACAATTTCCATGATGCTTGCGTCTACTACGTATCACCGAGCACCCGAAAATGTCACCATATCAAATATGATGTCCTAGCCAGTCCAAAAAAGATGTTATTTCTTATTTGGCCTCCGAAAATGTAGTCTGCGACTTAATCTTAATGAGGTTGACAAGTTGATGAGACAAGCGGCGAATGTAACTTTAAATTAGAGAACCTGTTATTAATTAAAAAAAAAATACATAAATAAAACCAATTCTTAGGCCCCTTACACGCACCTGTTGCCCATTTGACAGATATCGAAGTTCTATGATAATTGTAAAATTATAGGACTATAGGAGAAATTACCGCCCATATCGATTAATAATTCCACAAAATGTATATTAAAACAAACACACACACACGCACACACGCACACATATCTGGACATATGTGTATATATTTTAATATATGTATTTATAAACATTTATGAACACATGTGTATAATAAAGGTAAGAATTCTTAAATCTCGCGGCGAATATCTTCTTCACTTTAATCTAAGAAACCGCTTATTGCTGTTGCTTTGGCTGTCAATTCTTCTCTGTGAAAAAATATTATTAATTTAAGAACAATTATCTTGTTTTAAGAATTAAATTAGAAATTAATAATCGAATGAAGAAATCTAACGATTCGTTCCACGGTCACTACGTGGGGTAACAGAAATGATGCTCGAAATATGAAAGGAAATTGCAGAAACTGATTTCTCTTTCGAAAGGAGTTAGGCTTAAGGGGGAAAACGCATTTATTCCTACGAATACTGCCGATTTCTAACTGCCGCTAAGTGCTAATAGAATACTGTTGCACCAGTACCCTAAAGAACTGAATTCTTGCCATATAATTCCTGAAGAAAGATATACGAAGTCAGCGCTGTTTTTGTATTTTTCACAACTTTTGTGGGAAGATGGGATTGACCGGCCTCGACTAAACATATCTGTGTAAGCATAGAGATTAAATAACCTATTTTCTTTGAGGTATCTATTTTTCAGGAAATAAAAACTGTGGAAACTGTGATCATCCGTGATTTCCTGATGAATTCCGTAAGCAAAATATGGAAGAAAATCATGCACGACTGCCGTTTGCTGGTGCCCGAGAAAACTGTCGCCTTCTAATAAGCCTTTCAAAGGTCATGCTACAACGAAAGACTTCAGGACTCGTTTAGTGGGACTGGCATCACATCGGGCGCGATAATAGAAAAGCAATAAAAGAGCGAGACTCAAGATCACGGAGGCATAATAGCCTACAATACTCGCCCTCTGTCGCTCTTTCTCTCAGATGGGAGCTTTTGTTAAAAGTAGGTCTTCTAGGGGTGTGCTGACACAATTGAAAACTATCAAAAATGTTTAGAACATTATACTAAGCGACTTTGCCTTTCATTTAGTTTCAATTCCAATAATATTTGTGTCTGTTCGTTTATTTCGCAATATTGACGACTTTATGTAAATTTTAGAATCAGTTGTCGTATTATTAACGAAGAATGCGAATAAAAAGAAACACTCGGCTTGTTAGGAATTGTTTACCCCAACGCAGAAATATATGGGTAATGTAAACATAGATTATTACGTTAATTACAATATTTATCGTGATTATAACTGGAATTAAAATTTGTATTTGATTAATTACTTCGTCGTTGTGGTCCTTTATAAGGAAATCTTTGCATTAAAAACTACCAAAATTCATTGGGTAAACAGATCTGTTTGCAGCCATTCTGAATACGAATGAGCGCTTCTTAAACGCTATAAGCATCGTTACCCGCTAATTGTCTAATTTCTCCGTTCCTATATTGATTCCTTGCTTAACATCCCCGCGTCCTTTTAGAGTGAAATCGTTACCGTGGTCCTAACTTTGTTTATCCTAAATCGTAATGCACATATAGCACACTAGGATGACATTACTAAATAGAGAGCGTCAATTTGGTATCACAAATCATAAACGTGTTTGCCTTTGATTCACAGATTAGATAAAATATTGCGCTAAGGAGAAAGATGACGGCGTTTCAACTGATTTTCATAGGACCCTTCCAAAGACAGCCTGACACTCTTTAGTGTTCTATATTAATCATTTTCCATGGTTGCGGCTCAATCTCTTCAAAACTGGCTCGATTTCCTTTCAGTCCATTAAATGCCCTTCTTTTAAGTGATACAGTGATGGGTACTTTTTAAAACCGTTTCTTGGTCAATTTTTATTTTCGCAATGATGTCGTAAAATGAAATATACCGGACTTTTTAAGTTTGTTGACGCGTTTAATCGACTTTATTAGACGATTGTTCGCACAGAGCGAAGCGTTTGTCGAAACCATATGAAAATTTCCAGAATGCATTAGGGCGAACTGTTTGCGCGTTTGCGAGGAGTTCAATTAAATATTTTCAGTACACACGTTAGGAATTTTTTCACAAGCCTGCAAAGTGTTATTGCCTTTGTCGAAGGGATAATGCAAAAGATACCGAATTTTGTAGTATTTTCGTTCATTATAAACCAATGCAATTACTTACGACTGAATTGACAAGTGTCTTAGTGTTTCCCTTTTCCAATCATCTATGAATGAACTGTCTGTCACTTTCCGCACGCTGCTAAAGCTATTATGGAACCCTATGGCCACCTGTTGAGGTAAATTTGGCGAACTTCTTCTTTGGTCCTAGAGTTTAGATATACTTGCATAGCTATTAAAAGTACAGTTACGCGAATAAAGGTTTTACGTGTAAGCAAATTATTATTCATTTATGTAGTTTTCATAGTAGATGTGTTTGTTACATTGAGCCTTTTCTCTATGGGAAAATTCTCATAAAAATAACTTTGAATATAATGAACGCCGATTAATGTAAGAATCGTGTAAATTGCAATCCTTTACTACCAATTCAGGGATATTAAAACACATTTTTATTTTTTAATAGTTTTATTTCTATGTATGAACTTCTAAAAACTATACAATAATTTATTGTTTTTACTGTTGTTTTGTGTTTTTTTTTTTTTTTCTTGTTTTTACTTTGCTTCATATTTATTTTCATATTTATATACTATAATTGTATATATAAAGTATATATATATATAAATGTTATGGGTCGTACATTTATATGTATATGTATATGCATGTATTTGTTAGTTACATTATCTCATATTCTAAGTATACGCTTTATATATATGTAATGCCTGGATAGCATGCGGTTATAGATGTAATGTTTTTCAACATATTTTAGTTGATGCTTTTAAGTAAAGCGAAACAAAAAGATTAAGCATAGAAAATTTTAAATTATTAAACAAAACCGAGACAACCCAGAGATTAAGAATCTTTTTTTTAGTAATATTGCACTTAAATCGATACAGAGCTTAACTCAAAATGAAATGTTTGCTTATTGTTTGGCACACTTACATTTATTTAATATAAAAGAAGAAACGTAAAATTCCATTTGAGAGTGTGTTTAAAAATAATAATATATTGCACTTGAAATTAAAATGTAATTATCTAATTAATTAATTAATTAGTAAAACTATACTCTTTCAGAGAATTGGTGTAGTTGTTGCTGTAGTCAATGATTACATAAAATTAATCAACAGCTTCATCATAAACTCATTAATACAGTTTAGTTGATTTTTTTTTTGCTTTTTTTTATTTGTTTGTTTTTGTATTTTTTTTTATTCTACATACGATAAAGTTTCAGATTAAACTAATTTCTAGCCATGAGTTTTGTTTAAAGAGTTTAGTTTTTAATAATGAAAAGTTCAAATGCTTTCTAACGCTAAGAATTCATAGTTTAAGTTCTAAGGAAATACAAGTTAAAAAAAAAAGCTGTGTGTTCAAATTGTGTTTATACCGTTGCTTGTTGTTTACTTATTGGTTTTTCTTTTCGCTTATTTTTTTCTCCTTCTTATTCTGAGACGAGTATAAAACATGTCTTCTTTCCTTTTAAAAATAAATGTATGATTCCATGCATATATATATTCATAATATACATATATGTATACATAAATATATATACATATATATATGTATAAATATATATAGATAAAAATATATACCATGCCGTGTATGTACGGAATATACGTCACGAGTAGTTTTTAGGTAGTGAAGAAGATTTTTCATATATTTTCTTTGCATTTTTTAAACTTATTTTAAAAGTATATATATTTTATGTTTATTTCTTTACCTATTTATCCATAAACTCTTGTTTTGTTTATTCAAATATTGTCCTTAAGTGTTAAACTAAGACTCTATCCGTTCATCAGTAATTAAACGAACGGGCTTTCGACTGCTATAACACTTAAAATATTTGTTAATGTTTGCATGAGAATATTATCGGCGATAATCTGTTAATGATCTGAGCTAAATGGGTCGGCATGTTTGATGGGCTAAAAACACAGTGCACATTACTACAATTTGATAATTAAAATTTTTTCGCTAATTATTATCTTTATAATCGTCAAACAATAGCAGCATACGTTGCCCGTATTTAGTTATCTTTTAAATCATTAAATACTTAAAGTAATTGTGCTATAACTGGTTCAATTAGACACATATGTTCAGCTCCGCGTACTGGTAAACGATTTAGGCAAAAATGACGTATCATATCGGGGACGGTATCGAATGGACGACTAAACTGCCCCAGGATGTATTGGCCGGTTTCGTTACGTTGTATCCGCATATGCATAAAACCTTTAGCTCCTCTTGAAAAATGAAAAATGAAATACACACAAAAACGTATCATAAGCTATTTGATTGTTTATTGTAAAATCGTTTGTTCTGCTTACTTTAATGATAATGAATAATCCTGTTTGGTTGATTCGCAATTACGCACTAAGAAGCTACCCTCACTCAAAGGACGCAAAGTAGTTTCAGCTTCTATTCGCGTTATAGCTCCATGGTACCATCTGTCAAAAAGAGATTAAATTCATTTAAATTGTTTTGTTATTGAATTATTATTACTATGGTTTGAACTCACCCTTGCCTTTCCAAAGGTATTGAAACATCAATTAAATCTACAGCTGTGGCAAAGCCTTGGTTCAGATTCAGATTTAATTCTTTATTAGCGGTTACTCCACGTAAATCCAAACTACCAAATTTGTTGCCACTTGGCCGTGATTCGTTTAGATTTAAGGTAAGGTTTTGACGAAACAATGCAGAGTCTGTAATGAACAATATTCTGCTAGAGTTTGCTTTCTTCTATCATTTTCTTCTTTGGCTAATTTTGATAGAACAAAATGGCAAATTACTGTATCTATTTCTATTAAAAGCCAGGAAAGTTATCTAAATGTAATCAGACTTATCAAATCAACGAACCAACCAAAAAAACGGGGCGCGAAAAAAAATCATCGCATATGTAAAATTAAACTTTTCAATACATTACACATTAGATATCTAGATCGGCCTAGTTCAAAACGATACTCAATATCTCAAAAAAAAAAAAAAAAACAAAAAAAAAAAAAAAAAAAAAAAAAAAAAAAAAAAAAAAAAAAAAAAAGGAAAAGAACAAGTAAGAAAGTTGTATTCGGCGAATGCCCAATCTTGTATTCGACTCTCCAAGTGCTTTAAAAGAGTAGACCGTTTCTTAAAGTAAATGTGGAAAATTTCAACGTTCTAACTTTTATAATTTCTGCTCTGACCAGTTTGGTCCGTTTCCACTACCAACCTGCGTGCCAAGACTTCCAGTTCTCCCCCCAATTTTGAAGTCCATATTTTCTTGTTCGCGACCAAGAGAGTGTCAACAACAATCACTACACAGATGGACAGACATGGCTAAATCAATTTAGAATTTCACGTTGATCAAGAATATATATATATACTCTATAAGGTCTCTGAATCTTTTTCTTGAGTGCTACATATACTATGCAAATAAAATGCGTATACTTGCATCCTTCAGTGATGGGTATAACAAAAAAAGCAAATACATTAAGTATAAATAAGGAAATCCTTGATGGCCAGCATCTGTTTTTTTAAATGTGAGAATTGTTTCAACTACTTTCGTTTATAGTTGACATATTAGAAGGATGGATGAAGGAACAAGGATATTGCTAAAGCAACAGGGAACCTGATACCATTTCAGAATATGTACAGTGTATGTATTACCACGGTGTTATGAACGCGCATTTCAATGTAATGAGATTCCAGCATTACCCCAGACGTACACAAATCTTCTTTTAATGAACGATTATTCTTTATTGCAACCTCAGCTCTTATCTAAATTTTATATCAAATTATATTGTGGGCGTGTTACGTCGTATTTTTCTCAGAAGACTGCCTACTCTTGAATTTCTTTTCGTTTTAAAACACCTACTTACCTAATTTTAAAGCAGTTTTATTGTCATCACGTATCGAATGGCTGGATGAGGCTTGCGAAATGCCGCTCGATTCGGTGCTATGAGTCAAGAGACTATTAATTTCCGCTTGATTGGCACGCAAACGCCTTCTCAATTTGGGCATATCAAACGGTAAATCTCCCAATTCAACTGATGTGGCACTGCCGGAAGTACAAGCTTCCTGTTTTGCATATAAAAAATTATAGTATTAAAGTAAAACCGTACAGCACATCTTACGTCGTTTGTTTTCATACCTGTTGTAAAGTTTTTCGTCGTCTCAACTTTGGCATATCGAATGGTAAGTCTCTAAGATCCTGTGGCAGACCCATACTGTTAGTACTAATAGTACTCACGGCTGTAATATCGCCATTATTGACTTTATCGGTAGATGGAAAATTCAATTTTGGCAACGTGAACTTTTGCAAACCTATTAAAGGTTTACCATCCTCGCGGGAATGTAACGATATGCCGCTGTCCGAACCGAGAATTTCGTCCGTTAATTGCATCAGCGTCTTGTTGGCCGGTGGTCTACGTTTCTTCAAGGCATCCATTTGAAGCTGCGTTGTTGGACGTACATTTTCTACATTACCAGTACTATTTTGCATCTGATTAGGATTATGATTGTCACTGACTGCCACGACGGTAGTTAGATCTTCTGGTGAGGCGTTTTGTGTTTTATTTTGCTCAGAAAGTTCGGAAGCCGGCTCTTGGGACGATTTGTCTGATATTGGACTAAGGATATGCAATTTGGAATGTATGACAACGGGTGCTCGTAAGGGAAAAGCCACACTTGAGCTGCCCGATTCAGAGCTATGTGAACTCAACGAAGTCGAGTGCCTTGACTCTGAACTGGACGTACTGCGATTGCCTTCACTAGTGCTCGAGCGCAGCGATTCCATGCTGCCACCGCTACTCGATGTGGCTATGCTTTCGGTAGAAGAATAATTATGTGGTCTTCGACCTTCATTGCTCACATGGTGGTGGTGGGAGGCGTGGCTTTTGCGCAACTCTAATACCCGTCCTGATTCCAAGACGAACGAACGTGGCCGACTACGGGATCTAGTGCTGCTGTGGGCAGGTTTACCTGCGTTCGAGTGATGATGACTAGATGCTGACTGATGATGATGGTGATGATTATGATTGTGTGCTGTTATCGAAGATGGCGGATTTACATAAGCACTATCGGCCAAACTATTTTCATTGCTTGTCGCTAGCGAAGAATTTGGTTGTTGCCGTAAATTCGAATGTATGGGAAGACGTAAGTCGCGTAAACGTGGATGGGCCGGATTTGCTGATGGCAGGTTCGGAGCACTTCTAATGCTGTTCATAAAAAAACGTTCATGCTTTCCAGGAAATTTCATTGGTAAGGGTGCCGTTGAGGGTGGTGAAGGCGTATAGCCACGCATCGGCAGCTGAGACGAAGACGTTGTGGTTGGATTATTTTGCTGATCTACAGCTTGGGTTTCCCGTAAGTGTACGTTACCTAGTTCATTGGAGAGAATTGATATACTGGTGGGCATGGATTCGTTTAATCGAGTACTTGGAACGGTTATGGAGTTGGATGCACCCACTGTCAACGGTGAACCGCTGCCACTATTATTACCACCTGAATTACTCGCCTGTTCCTGTATGGCTTGATTTTTGGAGTTTTTTAAACGTTTTCCTTCCAGTCGGTTTTTACCAAGAGCAGACTTTGATGAACGTGTATCGACTTTCGCAGGCAAATTCCCGTTATTGAGTTGCAACAGTACAGAATGATTCGTAATGCGATCGACCTCATCAAGATCATCGTCAGATTTCGCTATTTTGCAATCAAAAGCTGTTTCATAAAGTTGGCGGGTGCGACCAGACATTTCGTCGTCCTCGTCAACTGCGCCAAGTGCGGGGTTGCTATCTAATGCGTTATCGCTGCGGGTTGAGTTAGTCGTATCAAGCAATAAGCGTGATTTGGATGAATTTAAGTTTTTTGAATCCTGGGTTGAACAATCGTCACACTCATGAACGCCATGAGGATGTACATAGAAAATACTGCGTGGGCGAAAATAGTCCTCTAGATCATCACCAAGACTGGGAGCTACACAGGCACAGGCGGCTGGTCCGAACAGTCTATGTGGCGGCATCGACGGTAGCGCTTCGGGATAAACAGTGCAATTTACAGTTTCTGGATTAGAATCATGGCAAATGTTACCATATTCGGGATTTAAAGGTTGAACATTGCACGTTTTACGTACCAAAGCCAAAGCACGGGCATGCCACTCCCGCCTCTTCAAACATTCACTGCAATCCGATTCGTCTGAAGTTGTAGTAGACGGTGATTCACAGCGTATTATATGAACTCCGTCCTCCGTAAATGAATATCGTTTTGGTATGGGGTCCTGAGATCTGGGTAGAACGGTAGCATTAGTTGCTTCGGTTTCATCAAATTCGTCGTCTTGTTCGTCGTTAGTGTTTTGCTCAGTACGTTCGGGTACGTCTAAACTGGTACTCTTACGATAAGGCCCCGTCAAAGGTTGGCTGGCTTGCGGAGGTTCTGAGGCTGTTGATTGCCTCAGCTTTTGACGGCTATCCTTTTCAGTTGTAGCGGTTACGGTTGGCTCCTTAGCTTTGAGCAAATCCGAATAGTAGTAGGGCGAAGGATTACGTTTGCTGTGCTCTGCATTGGCTACAATAAGTTTGCGAGGACTACGATGAGCTTGAGATAGTAATGGACGCACAAGGTCGTCCGATATGCTGTCCGGTGAATTGAGTTCAGGGACTTTCACTGATGGCTGATCTTCCCCATCGTCGTTAGATGACTTTGGAGCCGAGGAGTCTGCAAAACAAAAAAAAAAAAAAAACGTAGAAAGGCGTTTAGTTTTCACGAGTAATGTACGGATTCCCATTTTATAGTACAGAGAATAATTATAAAGAAATAATCAATCGCAACAAGCGTTCACATCTTGTATGTTCAATAAAAGTTTTATCTACAGAAAAGAGGAGTTACGATCTGCATTTAAAGCCGAAGGGAGTTGTGAATTGACAAAGAATGAAATCTGATTTCAGGTATATATACAACACACGACTGTTGGTACAGGATATATTAAGTTTGCGCGAATGGTTGTAACAATCCGCAGAACTTAAGATAGCCCTATCTTTCTAAATTAGCGTAAAAACTTCAGATCAGCCTAATTCGTTGTTTGCTATAACAGAAGCAACTGCAAAATAATAAAATCTTTTAAATTTAGGCTTTATCGACATTTGAGTATCCTCGGATGTGAAGGCTTTCATGAAAATTACGCTTTTACATAAAAATGTATACTTTTTGGTGTAATTTTCATTAAACAAAGTAGGATATCTAATGGTCCACTTACTTACAGAATTCTTATTTGTTCTTTACTAGTTTGCATGCGTTGAAAAGGTTACAGTACTTGTGCTATCACTTTACCATCTAATATCATATATATAAGACCATTTGTGCCCCGAGGAATTTTTTTTCAAATGGAGAATGAAATGCCTTTGCGATACGTATTGCTAGCCAGAAAGGCTATTCCGAAACTCGCATGTGTTAGGAAGAAAAAATTTCGGAGTTTCACTTGGGTCGGGCTAGTGCTCCTTGGATAATTAAAAATCGTTTCAAATTTGGAAATTCAATCCCATTCTGGAACGCTTTCTGCCTTTGATGCCGATACTGAAAGCACCTTCTTGGAAGGAATTGCATGACGGCTCGCTTGAGTGAAAGAAAGAAACTGAACCCCATGAATGTGACATTTTCTGTCCTCTGATGTCACGGATTTTTCACACTTTACGAGTTGGCCGCCTAAAATCTGTTACAGCCCATATAATCATTGTTGTTTGCCGGGATTCCACTGCAAATTGTGAGTAACTCATCAAAAATCCGTTTTGGTTTATATCGGCTTATGATTGTCTGTTCGCCTTATCTCCCAAGTGGAGAAAAAAGATTAATAGTCCCAAGAATAGGTTCTGAATTGATTCGATCATTTTCGCCAGCATTGCCACTATTACAAACATATCGTATCGGCTATCGATAAAAGTAGAGTCGATAAAGTGAAGTATCGTAAAACTTTTACCATAAGCGGCAAATTTATGAGAAATGAAAGAGTTCTCATCTATGCGTCCAATAGCTAAAGTTCAGTTGACAAATAAAGTCAAAGTCAAAGATAGTGAGGGGGACAAAGCTAACCTTCTTTGTCTCGTGTCTCATAACATCTCTTGTATCATTAAAGCTTCTCAACGGGTCTGACAATTTGTTCGGTGCTTAGCAACCATAAACAAAAGCAAAGAAAAAAAGTCTTAAAAATGCCAATTTTATTAACCCTTTTTTCTTCTTTTTTTTTGAAGTAAAGTCGAAGAAAATATTTCCAGAACGCGATATCGGAAAGTTATATTCGCGAAAATGCCATGGATCGCGGTAGCCCCTAAGAGGCTTTACATGGAATCTTTAAAAGGCGTTGGTCCCAAATCGACGGTTTTAAACAAATACCAAATACCCAGGCCTACATGCTTGACCTTACATCTGACCATCAAGTACTTTTCGGCATTGTATTGGAATCTAGAGTTGTTTTTCTCGACTCGCTTATCCGCCTATCATATCTGTCGCATTTCTTTATTACTGCACTCTTTCTGCACGCTCAGAAATTTTGTCGAAATTCTAAATATTTTAAATCCTGGGTGTTCTTAGCTCCATTAATTAAACAGTCTTTGCTTCTTGTTTTAAAATCGTTTTCAATAGAAAACGAATAAATAAATAAATAAAAATATATATTATAAACAAATCTTAACACACATGAATGTAATAAATATAGTTCCGCTTAATCCTAAAAACTTTACGTCTTATTGGTCCTCAATACATTGCTAAAGAAAAAAAGGAATGCCTTCGCTAGCTATTTGTCGCATGATTTGTCCTGGGATAAATAACTAAAATTCAAAAAGAGAGGAAAAATGTCATGAAAAATATATTCTGAAATGATAGATGATGTAGACGTAAAACTTACCATTGCCTGGAATTGAAATTGAAATGGAAACACATTTCCTTTCAGAAAAGCATATGCTCCATTTTCAATTTAAATTTTTTTTCTTCTTCTCAATTTTTGAGTCGTATACGTCTAATTTTGATGAGCTTCCAAAACTTATTAAGGAAATTGAGATATTTGACTGACAACTTTTTCTTACGTTGCCAACGGCTACTTTGTCTATTTACTGTTTATTTGTAAAAGCTAAACAGTGTATATTGCGTAAAGTATTTTTCCGTTGATTAGCTAAGGTTTTACGCCCTTTCCTGTAGTTATTGGAGAGGGAATTATCTCGATGTAGTGAAATCTCTTAATCCAAACTACTGTAGAGTCCCACCAAGGGGTTAGTAGCAAATAATCAAGTCCAATCCAATTGTCTTACATCAAAGTTATCTTTAACCGATTCTGTGTAGCGTCTATCTGCTTAGTCTTTATTGCTTTGTGGAGTATAGAATCTCCTCGCTTGACCAGGGTCTCGCGATTTCAATGGAAAATGCTAACTGCATTTTGATTAAATCGTTACCACATTTTAATCAAACCATTATAAATCGGTTCGACTGTATCTGTCAGCTCGTCTATAGTTTGTTGTTGGAAGTCTATCATCGATCGCAATATTACAAAGAGATACGAATCCTATATACGTTTAAGTGGATAAAAAGTTGTCGGTGGTCAAATCCGTCGCCTATTTACTTATATTTTTATTCAACTTTACATCGGAAGAAGTTCAAGCGAAGAGGCGACCTATAACAAGTAAGAAAATTGGATTTAACTGCGATCGAATCTTTTGCATATCGCTTTTGTCGTAAAAAACGGCTAAAGCACAACAAAACTGAATTTTCATACTCCATAATATTAGATGGGATTCGCTGTCCCTATTTTTTCTATTTTTGTAGAATGTACATGGAAATGTTCATCCTGTGCCTGTTGTAGTTTATGAGTAAAGCATAATAAGTTCAGATAAGGAGAGTGCTGTTAGTTTAGCTGATGCTGTAAGCGTGTCCTTTAGCGATTTGGCCGATTTTCAATACCAAAATGCATGTAAGATTTTTTAACAAACACATTATAGAACGAAGAGAAGGATAGACGCGAAGGATAGATGCTTGTATTAATTCAGAACTCGTTGCTGGTGAAGAAAGTATATACTCTGTGCGATTTCTGAAGCTTGCTGCTGGATGTTGCAGACGTTTTGACAAAATAAAAACACTTGCCTACTTCGAAGGTATATGAAAGCCCTGCGTGATAAACGACGTTTTCGGTGAAAGGACGGGTAACACAGCAATTCCATTCACTCGATATGTTCTAGTACACAGCGCTTTATGTCATATCGTATATGATACATGCTTCAATTGTGGACGTGTCTTTAAAAGAATTTACTTACGCTTGGAATTGTACATGAAGGGTTTATTAAAGAACAATTTAGAAGCCGACACAAGGCTTTGAGGTAAGAACTCTATTTTTGTGTAATATAGTTGAAGAAGAAAATTATAAGTTTTCAATAACTGTTGGCGGCCCCAAGATAATTAAGAATGATAAGAAAAAAATTGAAATCAAATTCGTATTTCACGGCAACATTTTGACATCTTACTCGTGATTTCAAAGAACAGACGAATAACAGACAAACAGATTGATCTCTGCAAATCGATTCCGTTACTAATGGTTATGAAAAATGTGTGGAATAGATAATGAAATATCCCGCTGCTGAAGCCATTCGCATTAATATTTGGCTTTATAAGAAATTTGATACTTCGTAGCGTTTGAGAATTTTGCAAACGCAAAAGGGAAGCATACGAAGCATCACATTTCGGTTGAAGGAAACTTATCGATAACTTTTTTACTGAGTCGCACTGAATCGCAAGTCACGGCGCATATATAGTGAGGTTTGTTGTGTACCGCACCTGGAATGGAACCTGGGCGTTACGGCTGGGCGGATGGCTTAACCACTAAATCATACGCTAGCCATGCAAAACTGAGTAATTGCTTTTTTATTTGTATAGCCTACATCGCTTGTGGGACAAGTGTACATTAAGTTTACGCAGATCTTATGAAAAATTTGAGGTAGATCTAACATTTGTTATACCGATTAAATCTGAATCACTGCCTGATTCAATTTGGGCGTATGTTTCCGTCTATTCATCTGTCCATCCGGCCTGTGCACCTTGTTTCGTGGTGTTCAATTTGCAGGCCTTAAGTTTTGAAATATTTAGATGAAATCTAGTACACTGCCATCTTTTGGCCCATGAACGAATGCTATTAAAAATGATTTGGGCGGGACCAGTTTTTCGACCATTTCCCTTTTATTGAAAAATCATTATATAGATTACTGCAAGGTAATATCCTGTTAAGCTCTTATTTGCTTCGTTTAGCTTTTTTTTCTTACTTGCTTACCTGAACTGTAATTGCTGCGTTTATCTTGGCTATGGTGTGCTTTACTAGCGGAGTGGTCTTGTGGTCTTTGTTGTTGTGGTGTATTTATGGATTGCTGACGATGTTGTTGTTGTTGTTGTTGTTGTTGAGTTGATAACTGTTGGCTTTGTGAAGATGTTGGAGGTTGGTGGCTTTTATGTGGTCGTTTCTTAGCCTTTTTATGATAAAATTTTTTATGACGTTTACTATCCTTAGGATCCGAATAACCCTCAATAATTTTAACGGACGCTTGCTTAATAATCGATGTTTGGCCTTGTGTAGATGCAGTTATTGCTCCAATTCCTGGGAATGGCAACTGCGGATGTGGTAAACGATGTTGTGTCTGGCTGCGTTGACTATGTAGCTTTAGTGAGGGATATCCAGGCAGTTGCTGTAACGTAGAGTGATGATGTAAAGGCCCTTGACTTTGTACGGTTGATGGCGGCGGTGCGATCTGTAGTGACAGACTAACTTGGGGTGGCAAATTACCGAGTGTGTCTGCTATGTTCAAAGCTGTTAAATGAGCGTTAACAACTCCTGCCTTAGAAGGTAGAGTCGATAAGGGAGCCGGTGGCGGTGGCGGTGGTGACGGCTGTTGTTGTTCAGTGTGTTCAGTAAAATTTACCTGCAAATATGGAAACACAATTCCTCTTTCAATCTTCAATTAAAAAAAATTGTCTTCAGTTTGCCTAATACCCTAATATCAAGAACGTGTAGTTGTATCTAAAATTTAATTACAAAATTCTATAACGATGATTATCGCGAGTAATTATTTTTCATTTCTACATTTATGCCCTCAAAAATGGCACATATTACAAGTACTTAGTGAAGAAAAAAAAAAAAAAACAAACAGAAAGGAAAACAGAAACAACGAGAAATATGCTACAGGCAGCTACAGGCTGATGAAGGATTTCAAAGAGTTAAAACAATATATGTAAAAAAATTAAAAGCAAATTTAACAACAAATTATTAGACTATCATGGTTGCAATGCTTGCAGCAATTATGGCAATCACACCCTATCCTATCCATTTTTATTCCTTTTTCGGCTTTTCTGATCCCCCATATACACTGTGCTTTTAATGATAAAAACTTGGGGATGAAAATTCAATTTGCGGCCCTATGCACCTACTTCTAGTAGATAATTTGCCAAAAGAACTTAATAATGTTCTAGAAAAAACACAAAGAAAGAAAAATAGACTGCTCTTATTTTAATTGCAGCAGTTCGTGCTGGTGTTCCATTCGGAAAGAAGTAAATGTAAAAGGAATGAGTAAATACATTATAGTAGGCCAATAGTCCACCATGAAATATTCTACACCTTAATGCATTTATTCTTATTATTATAATGGTTCTTCAAAACAAGGCGCTATACGGGAAGGGGTCCAAAGCAAATCATTTTCAATTGTTCTCGAGTGAAAACACGTCGTTCTACCAAATTTCAGCAAAATATCTCAAAAATTGCTGCTTTATAGGCTGAACATAGAAGTACAAGACGGACAGACTAGCTAAGACTGACTAAGAAAGTGATTACGAATCGATTCGTTGCAGTAAAAGGTAGATATATCTCAAATTCTCCTGGATGTTGTGTACATCCGCACAAATTTAATACACCCTTTTGCCACAAGTGATATAGTATACGAAAAGCGCCGCCCACACGTTTAGTCTCTTTTGAATATTGTATATTGTGCTACCCATTAGAACATAATATGTCGAAGTATATAAGGGCGGGCGTATATGGTAAACTTTTCCAACATTTATACCTACGCAATTACAATCTTTTTTTTGTTCAGTACATATCAGTCATCTGCCATCATCATAAACCATTAACGGTAAGATACCATTAATATGTTGTATTATATTCTACAACGTATTCTAGTCGCAGTTACAACAATAAAAAAAAAAATACAAAGAAGCCCGTAGTTGATGTGAGGCAAACAGACAGCAATATTTTTATGCCCCTACTCCTGTAAATCTTCAACTTTTTCTGTTACTATTACATGCTTTTCACTAAAGCAGCAGTCGTCGAAACATTGCCATTATCTATGGCTAATGTTAACATGAATGCATGTGTGTGCACAAACTGTAAAGAACAATTTTACTACTTCTATAGTTGAGAGTGTACTGTTGTGATTTTTAATTTTTCATCTCTTTTTTAAATTTTCTATTTCAACCAAAAAAAAGGCATTCGCTTCCTGTCCTTTCTGCGGCAAAAGGCGATCATATCTGCGATACGTGTTCTTTACCAGCTAGGTGTACTGAGAGAAAATCTCGAAAATAGCACCACTTCAGCGAAGTTCGACGAACAAATTTTATATCCAACGGAAAATTTACAAGTAAGAAAATAATATTCGGCTGCGATCGACTCTTTTATACCCACCGCCGTTATCGTATCTATATCTACTCTCCAATAATTAATTTAGAATTAATACAGTCAGTTTGTCGCGTGCTTCCTTCCAACTCCTTTTAGTTGATATCGAATTAATTATACTACTAGAAAAAGAAAAACGAATCCTTCACCTCCTGGCATCCACCATATTTCATTTAGAACTAACACATTCTTACGCCGATAATATATTCTCACGTGAGGAATGTGCAGAATAATTTTCACCTTATGAGTAGTATGAAGAAAACAATAAAAATGTAATCACTTTATAACTTTATGTGGGCGTGGCCGATTTTTTATATTTTTTTACGTGTCCTCCATAAAGTAAAATTTCATAAAGAATATTTCAGTCGTCCGTCTACCTTTCACATTCCGTGAATAATAAACAAAAAACAACAAATTTTTGTGTGAAGAAACACATATTTGTCCAATTTACTGTGGGCGTGTGCACTGAGCAATTTGTACCATTTTCAATATCAATCTGCACGAAGGAACTTCCACTGTTTCTGCCAAATTTGAAACCGACGGCTTTCTTTTTTGTGGCCAGGAAAATGTTTACAACGGACATTACACAGACGGACAGATGGACATGCTTAAATCGATTTAGAATTCGATGCTGATTAAGAATATATATACTTTGCGAGCTCTCTGATGGATATTTCTGGCCGTTCCAAACGTTTTGGCAAACTGAAAATACCCACCATCCTTCGGTGATAAGTATAAAAAATGCGTAGCATGAGAAAATTTATATCTCGCATACAAGTGCGCCTAAATATTCTATTAAAAAGTATAAATATTTATTGCTACAACATGCTCGTAAATAGCAATTTCCCGCATCTCTCAAATTTTTATATATAATTAAAATTATTTATTAAGTCTCTGGCAGAGTAGTTCATGCCCGCGCACTGTGCCTTTTCTTTTATGACGTGGCGAATCATTTGTTGTTGACTCGCTACACAGTTTTTGAGATGAAGAAGAGAAAGAAGAAGAATTACACATTTTTGATATCAGAAAATTTGTACTTTTTCTTAGTTATTCTGCCGTAGAAAATTGTGTTTTTTGCAAATTCGGCAGCGGCAGACAACATCGAGAATGAGACCGTCGTAAAGCAATATTAGGATCATAAAAGGCACATGCATAATCCTTTACTGCTTTTTAGCATTATTTTCCTTTCTTACATTTTAATTCTTTAAAGTTGTCACAGACGGAATGACAGTTATTAATAGCCCGTAATAGCCCGAAACAAGACAGACTGCCTAAAGTACCTGCTTAGCAAAGGCTCAAAATTTTGATTCTTAGTAGATGTACGGGACCCAACAAGAAAAGTGCGGACTACGTTCATTTCGATAAAGACAGTGATTGGGAGTTTCATGTATACTTTAGTATTTGCGGTCCATTAACTTGCCTTTAATCTGGAGGGATTACCTAATTATAATAGTTATCCCGCCCTGCTATTCTCTCTCTCTCTCTCTCTCTCTCTCTCTCTCTCTCTCTCTCTC